ACCACCCAATCACCTGAGAAACCAATAGTTTGCGAATACTGAAATAAGTATTGAGAAAATTTTCATTAAAATATTCCAAGCATCATTACGGCCACTAATTATTCCGCAATCGAACTTTCGATTATAGGACTGGAATCAGCATCTTCAGGAGTACCTATACTGTGATTTTGAACAAAATCGCATTTATCGCGTTTTGTCTCGACCCTGGAAAAAACGCGTAAGGGTCCCCCCTTACGCGTTTTTTCACCCAAATATGATTTTCTCTCAGACTTGAAATTTGTTGGGATTAATTTCAGTGATTAAGTACATCCAGAAAAACATAACAACACCACCCAATCACCTGAGAAACCAATAGTTTGCGAATACTGAAATAAGTATTGAGAAAAATTTCATTAAAATATTCCAAGCATCATTACGACCACTAATTATTCCGCAATCGAACTTTCGATTATAGGACTGGAATCAACATCTTCAGGAGTACCTATACTGTGATTTTGAACAAAATAGCATTTATCGCATTTTGTTTCGACCCTGGAAAAAACGCGTAAGGGTCCCCCCTTACGCGTTTTTTCACCCAAATATGATTTTCTCTCAGATTTGAAATTTGTTGGGATTAATTTCAGTGATTAAGTACATCTAGAAAAACATAACAACACCACCCAATCACGAAACCCCAATAAATAATTTTAAATATTCAGCATTAGCGATGAACTTTCGATTATGGGACCGGAATCCCAGCATCTTCAGGAATTACCTATACTGTGATTTTGAGACAATCGCGCATTTATCGCGTTGTCTCGACCCTGGAAACGCGTAAAGGGTCCTGCAGATTTTCACCCCAAATATGTTTTTCTCTCAGACTTGAAATTTGGTGCAGGATTAATTTCAGTGATTAAGTAGATCTAGAAAAACATAACAACACCACCCAATCACCTGAGAAACCAATAGTTTGCGAGTACTGAAATAAGTATTGAGAAAATTTTCATTAAAATATTCCAAGCATCATTACAACCACTAATTATTCCGCAATCGAACTTTCGATTATAGGACTGGAATCAGCATCTTCAGGAGTACCTATACTGTGATTTTTAACAAAATCGCATTTATCGCGTTTTGTCTCGACCCTGGAAAAAACGCGTAAGGGTCCCCCCTTACGCGTTTTTTCACCCAAATATGATTTTCTCTCAGACTTGAAATTTGGTGGGATTAATTTCAGTAATTAAGTACATCCAGAAAAACATAACAACACCACCCAATCACCTGAGAAACCAATAGTTTGCGAATACTGAAATAAGTATTGAGAAAAATTTCATTAAAATATTCCAAGCATCATTACGGCCACTAATTATTCCGCAATCGAACTTTCGATCATAGGACCGGAATCAGCATCTTCAGGAGTGCCTATACTGTGATTTTGAACAAAATCGCATTTATCGCGTTTTGTCTCGACCCTGGAAAAAACGCGTAAGGGTCCCCCCTTACGCGTTTTT